TTTATTTCTATTAGAAATTAATATATTGACATCTATGCAAAATACCGTTTGAAGTCCGTGAGCGGAACAAGGAGTCTGCAGTCCTTATGTAAGGCTGGGAGGCAGAGTGTCGACACGTGAGAGAGAAGTTCAGAGGGGCAAGTAGGCACAGGAGTGGGGACTTGGCTTCCCCCCCACCATCAAACAGGTATCCTGGCCCAGAAGTCCGGGTGCAGAACAAGGTGGAGTGTGCAGTCCTTGGGATCCTTGGGCCAGAAAAACACTATAACCAGATCTACAGGACAGATCACCCTCTCTTGGGAAACATTGTGACTACAGTGTGCTAAATGGAAGGGAAAAGGCCCCAAGCCACAGGAAGTTAAACCTGGAGCAGAAACTAAAGGGAAAGGACTGCTCTTCAGAACCATCTGAAATAAGGCTTCCCTAACATTAGTACTTTGTATTTAGACTTACAGACCCCTAAATTCAAGGGGATACTGATCACAGCATAAGAAATAGCAGCAGCTTGAAGCATTTGGAATCACAAGACCATAAAGCCTGAGATACAAGCTATCAGATCAACGGTTTGATAGTGGGAGCTAGGTGTTGAAGGGAGAGTAGGTGGGAGTAGAAAGGAATGCTGGTGGAGCAGGAAATGGGTGGGTCAAGAGACATAGGTCAAGGGCAGGGACAACACTGAAACTACTACTGGTTATTTCTACAACTGGGAAATATCTTTCATCTGTGTTTTTTTCTAAAATGCTTGTCTGTCAGATACTTTTCTAAATCTAAGCATTCAGATTAAGACAGACTAGGAAGGACTGGCCATCCACTTCTGAAATAGCAGGACTTCGAAAACCCTATGTACAATAGAATATACTTAGACTAGCAGACAGGGCAACAGAGGTGGAGCTTTCATGTATAGAAACACAAAGGAAGAGGAATAGTTGTAAGTAGACACTAGTTGAACATGAAAAGTAAGAAAATTAGATATTGTTAAGAAATGGAACACATAAATATTGACATCCTAGGTACTGGCAAGATGAGATGGACTGGCATGGGACATTTTTAATCAGACGATCATATGATCTACTATAATGGAGATGAAAAGGTGAGGGAAAATGGGGTTGCTTTCATAGTTAAAAAAGTCATTTCTAGATGCATCTTAAAATATAATATTGTAACAGGATAATATCTGTATGCATACAAGGAAGTCCAGTGAGTACCACTATCATTCAAATATATGCACCGACAACCAGAGCCAAAGAAATGGAAATAGCGATTTCTACCAACTTTTGCAGAGATTGATTGAACATGCAATCAAGATGCATTAATAATAATGGGTGACTGGAATGCAAAAGTTAGGAACAGAGAAGGATCAGTACTTGGAAAGCATGAACTTGGTAACAGAAATGAAGCTGGAGAATAGGATGATAGAATTTTGCACAACCACTGATTTATTCATTGCAAATACATTTTATAAAAAATATAAACTCAGGCTATACACATGGATTTCACCTGATGGTATGCATAGGAACCAGACAGATTACATCTGTGTTAAGAACCTCAGGAGAAGCTCAGTATCAGCAATGAAAACTAGGCCGGGCGCTGATTGTGGAACAGACCACCAACTACTCATATGCAAGTTTAAGCTGAAGCTAAGTGAAATCAAGTCCACGGGAACCAAAATATGATCTTGAGTCTATTCCACCTGAATTTCAGAACCATCTCAGGACCAGATTTCAGGCCTTGAACACTAATGACCAAAGACCAGATGAGTTATGCGACGATATCAAGAATATCATCCAGGAAGAGTGCAAAAGGTCACTGCAAAGACAGAGAAGGAAGACAAGACTAAAATGGATGTCAGAAGCTAGAGGGACAAAATCAAGACATTAAAGAGCTGAACAGAAGATTTCAAAAGGCAGCACGGCAAGACAAAGTAAAGTATTATAATGTGCAAAGACGTGGGATCAGAAAATCAAAGGGCTGAACTTGCTTGGCATTTCTTAAGCTCAAGGAACTGAAGAACAAATTCAACCCTTGAGTTGCTTTACTTAAGGATGTTTTGGGCAGAATATTAAATGATCCTGCAAGTATTAAAGGAAGATGGAAAGAGTATAAAGTCATTGTACCGACAGGAATTGGCAGACACAGAATTTCATGAAACAACATATGAGCAAGAGCCTGTGGTGATAAAGAAGTTCAAACTGCTTTTAAAGAATTGGCTAAAAATAAGGCCCCAGGAATTGATGGTATACCAATTGACATATTTCAACTAACAGATGCTGCCCTAGATGTGCTCACCAAGTTGTGCCAAGAAATCTGGAGAACAACCACTTGGCCAACTGACTGGAGGAGATCTATATTTGTCCCCACTCCAAAGAAAGGTGATCTGACAGACTAAACATCATTTGTATCACATGCAAGTAAGATTCTGAAGATTATCCAAAAACGACTGGAGCAGCACATCAACAGAGAAACTGTCAGAAGTGCATCCTAGGTTTACAAAGGGTTGTGGTACCAGAAATATTGTTAATGTTAGATGGATCTTGGCTGAAAGCAGGGAATACTAGAGGATTGTCCGTATTTCATGGATTATGCAAAGGCGTTTGACTTTGCAGATCACAACAAACTGTGGCTAACTCAGAAGAATGGGAATCCCAGAATACTTGATTGTGCTTATGTGAAAACTATACTTGGGCAGTCATCTGACCAGAGCAAGGAAACTCTGCATGGTTCCAAATTGGTAAGGGTATCCATACCTTTTCAATCTTTATGCAAAACATTATCTGGGAGGCTAAGGTCTTTGAGGAGAAATGTGGCATTAGGATTGGAGGAAGACTCCTCAACAGTCTGCATTATGCAGATGACACAACCCTGCTTGCTGAAACTGAGGAGGACCTGATGTGCTTGGTGTGGAAGGTCAGAGGCTGCAGCTTTCAGTATGGATTGAGGCTCAGTATCAAGAAAACAAAGCTTCTTACCACTGGGCTGATTGGTAGCATGATGGTGAAGAGACTGCTCAGTTTTAGTTTGCTTGGCTTCACAATCAACACTCTTGACACCAGCAGGCAGGAATTAAGACATATTGCGAGGGGAAAAGTTTGTGTTAGAGACCTCTCTAAAGTACTGAAGAGCAACAAGGTCAATCTGGAGACTAAGGTGCACCTGATAGATGCCATGGTCTTTGCAATCACTTGCTATGCATCAGAGCACTGGACAATGACTAGGGAGGATAGGAGAATTTATGCCTTTGAGTTGTGGTGTTGGAAAAGAGTACTGAATATACCATGGACTGCTAAGACAACGAACAGGTTTGTGCTGGAAAGGGTAAACCCAGGCTGCTCCTTGGAGGCAAGGATTCTGAAGCTTTGTCTGACATACTTTGGACATACTGCAAGGAGGGACCAGTTCTTGGAGAGGGACATCATGCTTGGAAGGGTGGAGGGACAGTGCAGGAGAGAAAGACCCTCGATGAGATGGACTGATTCAGTGACTGGGGTAATGATGATAGGTGTGTCAGAGACAGTGAGATTGGCACAGGATAGGGCAGGGTTTAAGGCTGTTGTACATAGAGTCGCGGGCGACTCAACGGCACATAACATGCAAAGTACTGGCTTAAAAGGGGTTTACCTTAATCTTCTATTTTGAATTTGCATATTTCAGAAAGAAGAATTTTTATTTAATATGGCTCCTAGTAGGAGTTCAGGAGATACAGCCAGACATACACATTTAAGTGTGAGGTACTTCTGTGAATGTTGGGGAACTGACCCTGAATCACAGACATGTCTTTGGTTATTTTATAACTGGCAATTTCCCAAATTTTTTCCATCCAATTCCAAGGCAGCCACTGATGATAATAACCTACTAACCTGATATTAATTTTCCTTGTTCATATATACTGCAGCTGAGTCACAGAGACAAAAGAATCTTAAGATGAATTAATGGCAAATTCAAGGGTTCCAGATATAAATGATAGTCACTGAATGGTATGAATATATTCACTAATGAAAGTTAAGATAGCCATTAGACAAAGCTTATTGAAAAACATAGAACTATATCAACGCAAGACAAAATATACTTTATTAGACAGCAAATACACAGTGCTGTAGGTAATGCATGCCACTAGGAACCTGCATATGATCAAAGACGTGTATGCAAATGAATAGAAATATCCACCCTTTGTAATTCTTGAAGGTGAACTAAATTGTGTCCATTTCTCTTAAATGTAGTATTATAACTACCTTAATCAGAGACTTGGGCCTTCAAGCATGAGCCCAAAGGCAAAAGAACAGAACTGTACTCAGCAGTCACTTATAATATATTAGAAACAGGAGATTCACTAATTGAGGCAAATTTTCTTGCTAGACTAAAGACTTGGATGTTGAGCATTCAAACATCCATTCCTTTATTTAAATAATTAGGCAATTTGGGTATCATTTATTTTGCCAGAAGCAAACAATAGATTTTCTAGAATAGTGTAGATAAAGAAACATTTACATTTATGTCACAAATTTTGAGCTAAAATAACAACCTGAGGTAAATCTGATCCTCTTCTACTTGCGGGGACCAAGTACAGTTTCAGTTTCAATAGCTGAACTTCTTTGACAGGATCTGACAATAATGGCAAAATAATAGTATGATGCTAACAAGAATCTAACCTTCTGATCAAACTATTATGTTCCACAGATTTGTTGAAAACAATGTAAAACTGAGAGGGAAAGGCTTAAATGTTTTTCAGAGCAGTATTTTTGGATAAGGTACTTCATTTCCCTCTTCTTCTGAAAGAGATGCAGATTAAATAAATCCTTTCTGCATGAATGCATACTAGCAGTCTGTTCAACTGTTTTCTAAATGCAACGCTGTGCGTTTAAACAGTGTGCTTTAATTGAAACAAAGAGTGAGATACATAGTCAAATTCACTTAGAAATAAAAAGAAACACTACTATAACTACAACTATTACTTATCAAGTACTCCTTCCTTCTAAAAAGATATTTTTAAAGTAACACAGTACCCAAAACATCCAACTATCACTTTATTTATATTACTATGCTTAAGTTACATGGAAAAAAAAAAGACAACCAAGCAGTTTTGTCCCGTTCCAGAAAAACTTTCCAACCAACATCAAGGATGTGGTGACAAATCATTAGGAAAGGTAACATCTTTGGGTCAAGACTGACAAGAAGAATGGGCTCTGGTGCTGTGGTTCATCTCCAACAAGAATATGGCACGAGGGCCAGCGCAAGCCCTCTTAGCACTGGACCTTTAGCGCTGCACACAAATTCGGATCTCTTCTCTGAAGCTAGCAAATCAGGCGAAATAACGGGTGTTTTTTTAAAAAAAGTTTTAAAACGAAGCCCAAATAATTTTAAAAACCATGCTCTTGACATATTTTCCTTCCAAAATTTACAAACACACTGGTTTTTCACTCCATTAAGCCCAGATATTTTTTCCCTCACTTAGCCCACTATGTAGCTGCAGATAAGACTATTCTGCCTCAAGATGTAAACACAGGAAAAAAAAAGTAACAGCATCTGCATAATATTCTCTCTACACACTGCTGCTGGATGGAAAATTTAAAAAAGGGGGGGAGGGAGGAAAAAGGAAGAAGAAAAAAAAGTTCCATCTTAGATTCTCACAACCTCTTGTTCCGCAGTTCATGAATCCGACTCTGATGCTAAGGTGACAGTGTATGTAAGTAGATTTTTGTTTTCAGTGAAGGAGACCTGGGAAAAGATGGTATTTATCTCATTCTCTTCAAGAGTTATCAGAGGGTACATGCTCCTCAAAACCTTCACTCTCTCGGACTAGGGCACGTTCCAGGATCACACGACCTTCCTTATAACGCTGGCTGTCTTCAGTGGCAAACTCATAGATCCATCCCAGTTTGCTATTGCAGTTTTTGCAGCTCACGTCTCGAACCATGTGGCGGCCAGTGAGCATGACCCGATCTTGAACTTCACTGTACTGCAGGTTAACTACCTAAGAAACAGAAAAAATGTGGAAAGACATGTAAGCTATTTGCCAAACAAGTTCCCAATATTATAGTTAGTGCAGTAACTAAGCAACTTAAGAAAAACAGAAGAAGTTGTTACTCTAGTCAAAACTACAACAGTCTCTCCAAGAGGAGCAAGTGCTATTTTTAGAAGCTGCTAGAACAGGTAGACATTGAAAATTACACTACTAAACATCTAATATAATCATGTATTATTGTACTAGTCCAAGCCACACTATTTATTCATCCTGTTTATACATCTGTGCTTTACAATGAAGCATCTTGAAATTAAAGAGTTATAAATGCAGCTCTGGATCCAATTATTCTCATACATTCTTCCAAGGCAATGTTTTAGGAGTATAAATAAAGCAATCAAAAATACAAAAAAAAACCCAACACCACAAATACACAGCAGATATCCCATAATAAAGCTGTCACATTTGTTCCTTAAAAATACATTTAATACACAAATTGAGACAGAATAAGCCTACAACTGCACACACTGCAACAGTTGTCCTGAGTTCCAAGACTAAAGAAATGTCAATAATTCTGAATATTCAACAAGTAGAAAAAGTGATTTTGTTTTTTCATAAAGAGTTAAATATTAACTCTTTGGCTGAGGGCTATATGCTTTTTGTTCTACATATTCAACTCCACCTTTCTAGCATGTTGTGGTGCTATTATGTGCCATCAAGATAAGACTCACAGCAACCCTATGAACCAATGGCTCTGAACCTTCTCTATCCTAAGCCAACCTCACCGTCTCCAACACACCTGGTCCCACTGCCACATGAGGCAATCATAAATGTACTGAGTGTGGCAGTGTTCCAATAAACTTTATATTATACAAATATGCAGCTGGTTCATACCTTAAGATCAAAGCTATATTCTTTTTTTCCCCCTACATGGAACAGAGGGATGTCCACTGGAGACGTTTCCTAGGCCTTCTAGGAGGACTACCTGAATTAGTATAGTTCTTTACAATGAAGATTTGGAAATTCAATTTCATAAGTACACATTAAACCCAGGAAGTAGAATCATAAACAATTAAAAGCAAGCCAGAAAGTAAAGAAACATTTATTTTAAAAAAAAGAAACATTTATTTGTAAATTTGGGAATCTTCATGCTGGCAAACCTATGTAGGAAGCCAAGTCATAATCAGAAAGATGCTTGGTGAGTCTGAATTAGCAGCCTTCTCCCTACATGGACACCTCAGTGCTGTACCGGTCCCTTTCGCCAGTGTTGATATGGCAATCAATCCTGCATCATTACAATGAATGTTTTCTGAGGCAGCAAAGACTCTCCCTTCTTGTAGCATACTTTTTAACTTTTCAAGGCAAAAAAATAAATGATGTTGTTGTTATGTGCCGTCGAGTCGTCTGTGACTCAAAATTACATTTTAGTGATGCTTCCCAAAGCTCCCCCCTAGAACAAGGAACAGGCAATCATTTCTACAGATTCCAGCCCTTCATTATGACTCTTCCTGCTGTCTGGGAGCCACTGGAGTTGCCATCAAGTATACCCACGGAAATGGCTTTGGAAATGAAATCAGCTTTCTCACCCACCTTGTTAAAAAGAAATGCTCGGCCAGTGGCGCCTGTGAAACGGGTAGAGATGAGTTCTGAGCGGTTGGTCAGGATCGTATCGCAATTTGCACATGAAAACAGTCGAGTACCACCAATATGGTCAAGGAAAATTCTGCCCATTTTTATAGCTGAAGTGCTAAAAACCTATAAGCAAACAGAAATTAAAACATATTATAATGATAAAAATAGATGTACCTACTTGGTGGAGTGTCAGAGAGCTATACTTAAGTATCATTTGCTTTGTAGGACATAGCATGTGAAACAGCTGACCCTGCAGAGAGGGATCCAAAGTTCATGCACTGAACAAATGCAGAGGTATAGCAAAGCTAAGAACACTTCAAAAGCAGTAGTCAAGGAAATAAAAACACAGCATTAAGTGTAAGTACATTATTGGGAACATGTATAATTTGAGAAGAGTACAGGGTAGAAAGCAGGCAGAAGAAAGGTTTAAAAAAACCCAAAAATAGTAGCCTGGTTTGTGAGCACAGGCAGGGTGGACCTGTGGTCAGTAGGCACTCCCACAACCTAATAAGGTGACGGCTTGAACGGTCTTTCAGAAGTGAAACTACTATATAAAGAGAACACCATATATAAGGCACTTCTTTCAAAATGCTTTTGACAATTCCATGATGACTTTATCATCATCTCTCTTTCACAGACTGCCTATAGTAAGTTTAAAAAGGTTAGAACCCGGTCAGAGGTTACGAAGGTTTCAGGAACAAAGAGTCACAGCTCAGTTCTCTCATTACACTACACTGCCTTGTCTAGGATGGCACTCAAGATGGGCAGGCCTGGCAGCAAGAACAGACATGGGAAAGATGAGCCACCAACTAAAACATGCTAACTTGTTTGTGTTTAAGAGTCTTGCTAATGTAAGAATTTACGCTGCATTTCACTTGTTTTAAAATCAGGGGAAAAAACATAGAAAAAGTTGAAACAATGATAATCACATTTCAGGATTTAAAATCAGGAGAGTTAAAACACTTTAAAATCACTGCAATTAATCCTCCTACTAAGCAGTGTTTTTAAAGATCTAGGTATAGCCAAGAATATAGCAGAGCTTTTATTTTTAAAAGCATTTAATCCTGGATGTGGTTTTTAAATCTCATGCTTTAAATATTTTAACTATCCATTGTCATTAGAGGCCATGCAGTCAGTTCCTTAACCATGGCAATCTTAATAACAATGGGACAGGATCTGTTGTTATATGCCACCGTATTGCCTGTGACTCAAAGTGGCCTTATGTACAACAGCTCTCAACCTTGCTGTATCTTGGGCCAATCTTATTGTCTCTGACACACCTATCCCATCATGGAGTCAACCCATCTCATCCAAGGTCTTCCTCTCTTGTGCTGTCCCTCCAAGCATGACGTCCTTCTCTAAGAACTAGTTCCTCATGGCAACATGCCCAAAATACGTCAAAGCTTTAAAATCCTTGCCTCCAAAGAGCAGCCTGGTTTCACCCTCTCTAGGACAGATATGTTTGTTCTCTTAGATTCCATGGTATATTCAATACTCATCTCCAGCATCACAACTCAAAGGCACCAATTCTTCTTCTATTATCCTTAGTCACTGTCTAGCTCTCTGATGCATAGCAAGTAACTGCTAGGATCATGGCCTGGATCAGGTGCACCTTAGTCTCCAGACTGACATCACTGCTCTTCAGTACTCTAGAGAGGTCCTTGACAGTGGATTTTTCCAATGCAAATTACCTTTTGATTTCCTGGCTGGTGGTACCTAGAGTGTTGATTAGGGAGCCAAGCAAGCTTTAACTGTTAACAACATCAATCTTTTCTCCATCTATCATGGTGCTGGCAACTGGCCTGGTGGTGAGAATCTTTGTTTTCTTGATGTTGAGCTTCAATTCATAATGAAGGGTGCAGTCCTTGACCTTCTGCAGCAAATGCCTCAGGTCCTCCTCAGTTTCAGCAAGGTTTTACTTTTAGATAGGACTTGTAGGTCTTTAAATCTGTATGCAGAGCTGATACAAACTACTGTCATAAATACATAATCCAAAATTCAAATTTTTAGTAAGAATCTACTGACATCTTAAATCTGAGGAATTCCATTGCAAATTAAAAAAAAATCTGTGTTCTTTAATATGAACTCTCCCAGCCCCTGGGCAGTTTTAATATTACTAGAAAGGTCATAAAAATTTGGAGAAGGTACAGGAGTGCTCTTTGGAAGCAAGAATGATAAGGCTCTACCTCACATACTTTGAGCATGATGCTAGGAAAGGATATTCGTTGGAGTGGGAAGGTTGGAGGGCCAGGCGAAGGACAGAAAGACCCTCAACCAGGTGGACTGACACACTGATTGCTGGAATGAGCTTTTGTGTGTCAAGAAGTGTGAGAATGGTGCAGGATGGGATAAGGTTTAGATCAAAAGATCATGGGGTCACTCTTGAGTTGTATTCAACTCGATGGCACCTCCTAACAACATCCACCCTAAGTATGACACAGAAGTTTAATCAGGAATTTAAATGTCTAGACTGAAAATTTCAGATGATACTTGGTTATCTAACTGCATTTCTGCAAAATGACAATAAAAATAAGACTCGGTGCCTATCATTTTCACCATTTATGACTATAGAATTACTTTTTCCAGATGCTTGAGAAGACCGTATTTATCACTAGCTCATAGGTTGCATCTCTGACACCTACAGACTGGATTCATTTGATGATCTATGGACACAGTAATGAAGCAAACAGATGAAAAGTCCTTCCCTCACATGTTTGAATTAATGTTCATTTTTAATAGAAAGCACTGAGCTGACACAAAAACTGTGAGGTTTAATTATTAAAGTCTGTTATTTTACGTTTCTTTTTGAAAAACAAAACAGGAGGCTCTGGTAACATAGGGCATGCATTCTTGTATGACAACAACTAACCAGAGCTGAGTGGTAGTTTAATTTCCTCAATTCTCAATACCCTTTTCATTTTTGCTCAGTCTTCCCTACTATCACTCACTCATTTCACCTTGTAAGACCTTTAAATTAGAACTCTTTATAAAAAAACACAGCATTCTTGAAATGCATAAATCAAGCATTCATTAATCTATGAGCAGTTAATTTTGGTCAGTTGCATAACACGGATCATTAGCAGAAAGCAATCATAGAATTACTTCTGAAGACCTAAGTCTTCAGGTTGTCTACTTTGACAAATAGTATTTAGCCTCTAGCTAGGCCTCCTGGAACTCAATACTTCTAAGCAAATCTTTCCTGAAATTTTTAAAGTCTTTATACTGTGTTTGGTTGTTTTTTTGTTGGTTTTTTTTTTTTAAGTCTTTATATTGTAAATGCTTTCAGCCACAATGCAGGGATAATTTCACTGCCCACAGGTGAAACCATGGAAAATACTGGATTTCAAATAACTTTTCCTACACCTTCACATATATCTTTTTTTCCTTTGGTTTAAAATTGTCATTTATATTCAAAGGTGACCATGTGCTGCAGGATATATGCTTTTTATGCCAAAAGGATAAATAGTTAACATTTCTTCCTTCCATACTTCAAATTCGGTTGATTTTTTTACTCTTTCACCCAAGTATTTTAATTAGATTCAATTATATGATTCATTACTGAGACCAAAAATATCTGTGCAGAACCTTATGTTACACTATTTTTACTAGCGTGGTTGCCATTTATAGTCTTCTTTATATAGCTCGTGTATATACACACATTTCAATCTAAAGTGCAGTTTTTCTTTGCTATGTCTGATTCAGGCCATGGTCTTCTCAATCACCTGCTATGTATCAGAGAGCTGGACAATAACTAAGGATGCCTTTGAGCTGTGGTGTTGGAGAAGAATATTGAATATCCCAAGGACTGCCAAAAGATAACAGATATGTCTTGGTGAAGGTATAGCCGATGTGTGCTCCTTGGAGGCAAAGATGATGCTTTGTTTCACATATTTTGGCTATTCCTTGGAGAGAGACATCATGCAGGATCAGCGAAAAGGAAGGAAAACCCTCAACCAGATGGGCTGACACAGAGACTGTGGCACTGGGCTTGAATGTGTCAGAGAGTGAGGATGACGGGATAAGACTTGCCTGTGTATAAGGGTCACTATGACTTGACTTGAGAGCATCTAACAACAATATCAAAGGCTCATGCAGACTATGTCTCTACAAACTTGGAAATACTTTCCCTGAAGAAATAGAATGCAATTTATATACTATAAAATCTATCCACATTCTTTTGTATATACTGAATGAGTTTTAGTAAATTTATAATTGTGCCACCATAATCACAAATGAATTTTAAGAGTGCTTTCTTACCCAGAATTCTTACAAACCCATCTGGACTCAATCTCCTTTCTTACACCACCACCTTTTTTTTCCTCTTTATTTATTTTTAATATGGCTGTGTTTTAGTCACAACAATGACCTGTGGCTTGCAGTGGCCAAAATATTTATTATCTGGACTTTCACAGGGAAAATTCACTGGCCTCTGCTTATAAATGCATTCTGATAGAACGCAGCTTCTTAAAAAAAACCAGAAGTTATTCTTGCTATTCAGGTTTAAGAATTAACAGGGCTATCAATTTCATACCATTTACCTTTTCTCCATGGATTTCTAGCGAAAATTCTTAACTTATTTCAATCAGTTCAGTATGCTGAAAAGAATTCTAAAGATTATTATTAGCTGCTGTCTCCTTTCTCTTCCCTAAATATTTCTTCCAACAAAGGGAGGTTATGTTTATTTTTTAGCTGATCAAAAATCAAGTATTATTTTGCATTGTCAGAGAAACTCCAGCAGAAATTCTACTTGTAAACAGTTATTTACAAAATGATGCCACAAGAACTTTGTTGCTGTTGTTGTGTTGTTGACTGACACTATTAACTAGAGGCCTGAAGTCTTTTCTGTAAAAAAACAAAGTTAAAAAAACAACAACAAACAAACAAAGATCATAGAGTTTCCAGAGGCTGTTTAGGAAGTAGATGCTATTCCTGCACAAATACCCCAACTTCTAAGTGCCGGTTTCTTCTGGGAGGAATGTGGATTATGTTTTTGTTGTTATATGCCAGTAGAGTCACTTTTGACTCACAGTGTCCCTTAACAATGCAAACTGTTAAGTGTTGACTAGTAGGAAGGTTGATAGTTCAATTACACATTCCTCCAGCAAAGCTGCAAAAGGTCTGATGGAACATTACA